TGTTGTTGCAAAGGCGCCTACACCGCGGTCATATCTAATTAAAAATAGACGAGGTATTTATCGTCGTAATCGCCGGCATTTAATTAAAACTTTCGTAGATCAGTCTGAAATGTCTAATATTGAAAACACTGCTAATAAAACCGATGTTGCCGGTCATAACAGCGATGAGGACTATCGTGACGTGTCAGACGATGAGTTTGTGCCTGCTTGTGGGCAAATTTCTGACACTAAGTTACAGGAAGATTATACCCCACCTGTAACCCGTAAAAAAGCTAAAATAAGATTATAAATTAGTATAAGTCCAAAATGTTTAGTTAAGTATAAGTATAACACTATATGCAAGGTGTTAAGTTAATATTTATATTGTTTTTTGCTATTTGCATTTTTTCTATCTCATTGAGAGCATACTTTTCATAAAAGGGGAAGATGTGGGTAGTTAGAATATATGTTATGTGCGGTAGGTGTGTATTTGAATAAACAGTTGTTTGACAAACTCCAAAGTTTCATTACATGACACTGAGTTTCTTGCCGATTCTTGTCAGTATAAGATCTTCCGCCTTTGTTTTGCGAACCATTGGCAAAGTTTTCGAAATTCACAAGTACTACGTATCAGCTGAGACTGAACTGATTTTGATATTTATATTAATATTATTCGTTTTGTGGATGCACAATGACACATACAAATACAAGCTGAATTCTGCGCTCTGCTTTTTGTTTTTCATTCCAAACCTGAATTCGGATGAAAGTTACGAGCAACCAATAAGTCGTTCCTTTACACGTAACATAATAAACTACCTAAACTTACGATTAAAATAAATTTGAAAGTATGATATTATAAGAAACACAAAACGATGTCATATTTATTAATTTTCGATACTCAATTTACTTTTATTACGTCAGAAACAAAATTTGAATAAATATCATAAACAAAATCCAAACATCGTGAGTGACATTTCGTATGATTTCAAGAACAAATTTTTATTTTTTAAATACTTCCTCATTGTGTGAAATGCGCAGATAAGCCATTAATAAAAGAAGATATTGTAGTTCAACACCGCTCAAGTTTCTGTCATTATCTCAGAGGAATAATATAGCTTGGGTTACATTATCTTTTGTCATGTGTCAGTGTCAGTTAAATCTATTTTTTTAATGAAGATGACTGAGGACCTCATTTTCCCTCGTGAAGGGCTCGTGAGTTACCTGAAGTGAATGAGTACGTAGCGAGGTAGCGAGGCATGTTGCCGTTTGGTACAAAATGAGGGAGGGAGTCGGTAATGCTAAAAAAAACATATTTTGTCTTTAGATTCTAGGAAATAAACTTAATTAGATTATCATTTACCAGAATGACCCCAACACGCAACTTATTTTTAATAGTGTCAATGTTCCATTTTTGAAATCGATTAATCATTAATTAATCGATTTTTTAAAATGAATAACGGAATATAAATATATTTCTAAATAAAACCGATACATTTTTATTAACTTTGGTTTTGTCTTAGACTAATTAATATCATTTATGTATAAAAAATTAAATAGGTATTTGCGAAGAAACACATAAATAAACCTGAATCGTTTCAAAAAACTCATTATTCTTTACCCGTTTTCTTAATCTTGAATTATTGAGTAAGTATCGAGTCGTCTTTTAATTCTAAACAACTCGCTCGCGCCTTGTGCTTGAAGCGTCAAAAAGTGAGAAGCTAAAGGAGGTGGTTCAAAATTGAAAAACGAGTACTCCCTAATTTTGTCAAAATGAGGACCTCAAACGAGGCACCTCGCGAGTGAGGGGCTCATCGCTAGTGTCAGTTAGTCAATGATGGATGTCAGTTGACAGTTTGGTGGTGACCAAAGATTACAATATTATACTGGAATATTATACTGGTGGTGACTGTGGTGACCATGACCATTCTCCATCTATGATCTGTGTTCTCCATTATTCTCCGAGATATCAACAGACTTTAGTATCGTAAGATATCTAATGAATGGATCTTTTCTATTTTATACGCCTCACCTCTAGCCAGCGTTGCAAAACCTACCGATTTTTCGGTAGATCTCCCGATATGAGCCCTCGTTTACCGAAATACCGATTACGAAGTTATATCTACCGATTTTTAAGTTTGCCACTGGTTTTTACCACAAAGAAACCAAATTCAATAATATTTTATTATTTCTAGCAACACCACTCTATTTTACTCTATGAACCCTACCCATAGTCTGTTTCAATCACACTTATTAACGAAATTATTAAGCTATCCTTTTCTCGCACGTGTTGTCATCTTGACGTCTTGCTTGGCGCTATGGGGATTCCCCAAGGTTATTCCCCATTGGGGAATAACCTTGTTTGACCGTATGCTACAAATACTATGAACAAAAATGGACGCTATTGATAGCGAAGTAAGATTCATTTTACTAGAAGGGTTTGATAGGATCCAGTAAGGGAAATCCCCTGTAAATATGAAATTATTTCTTGTTTGAAAACATTTCTTATTCGATTCATTCATTCTCCTTAGGAAGATTGAGCGTGTTACAATATAGCGTATTAATTTTGTTGGGGCGAAGTTAATTTTATAATGTCTGAGGAAAGTTCAGATTCTAATGCTGGTGCATCGACTAGTACTGGTGTCAAGCGAAAGAAATATCAACAAAAATTTAAAAAAGAGTGGGAGTTACGACAGGAGTTCTCTGCATGGTTGTCTCCACATTTATCAAAACCTACTTTTGCAATATGCAAATCTTGTAATAAGGAGATAAATATATCGTCGGGGTACGACGCTCTTAAAAAACATGCCAAATCTAAGCTTCACGAAAATAGTGTTAAGAGCTTAGCTGTTCAACCAAAATTGACAGACTTTGTCAGTAAAGAAGTTACTCAGTTTAAACATCAAGTGAAAGAAGGTAAGTGAGGTTTTAATTTTTTTTGCGCCAATTTAAAATAATAGAAATAAGGTATATATTTTTTTGTTTTCAACTTATTTATACCAAACAATAAGTTGTTAAATTAACAATTTCATTCATTTCAGGTGAAATCCGGATTGCTGGGTTTGTAGCTGAGCATAATCTTCCATATAATATTACTGATCATCTTTCTAAATTAGTTGTACAGATTTGTCCAGACTCTAAAGTTGCAAAAAGTTTAAAATGCTCACGTCCAAGAGTGCAGTCTATCGTCGAAAATGTCATCGGTGCAGAGAGTTTCGCAGAACTATGTGAAGATTTGCGTAATATTAAATTCTCGTTGGTTATTGATGAATCAACAGACTTATCAACGACAAAACATCTTTGCATGGTGGCAAGATATGTTAAAAATAATCAAGTACGTGATTCTTTTCTCGCGCTGATTCCCCTTTCTTCAGCAGATGCCACCACACTTTATGAAAGCATTGTAAAGTTTTTCATGGACAAAAATATTCCTTATAAAGATAACTTGATTGGATTTGCATCCGATGGTGCAAATATAATGATGGGACAAAGACATTCAGTGATGGTTTTATTAAAATCAGAAATCCCAAATTTATTCATCATGAAATGCATATGCCATTCGTTTCATTTATGCGCATCTTATGCTGGCGAGAAGATCCCTCGATTCGTTGAAGATTTAGTCCGGGATATTTACAATTACTTCGGTTCAAGTCCGAAAAGAACAAAAGAGTATGAAGAGTTTCAAATATTTTGCCAATTAAAAATTCACAAGATTTTACACCCTTGCCAGACGAGATGGTTATCGGTACATGCAGCTGTTAGTCGGATTCTAGAGCAATATACTGCCCTGAAATTATATTTCATCGATGCTGCCGCCTCACAAAAGGAGTTGCTAATTGCCACAAATATTTTGCAGAAATTGAACGATCCGGTAACTCTTTTATTCCTTCAATTTTTAGATTTTGTTTTGCCAATCTTTAACCAACTGAACAAAGAAATGCAAGCGGAAGGTGCTAGAATTCACATTTTATACTCGCATGTGTGTGCATCCTTGAAAACTCTGTTAGACTGCTTTTTAAAGAGGTCTTACTTAAATGCAACTAACATTGAAGATGTGAACTTTAAAAATCCTCATAACTTTTTGGATATGCGTGAGATGTACTTTGGAGCAAAAGTTATGGATACTTTACTGAATGATAACAGTTTGACTGCAGATCAGTTGAATTTATTTCAAACAAGATGTCTACAGTTTTATATTGAAGCATCTGAGCAAATTATCCAAAGATTTCCCCTTAAAAACAACCCATTGAAAGACTTAAATATTTTGGCACCAGAAAATGTAAAAAAAGGAATTCACTCAAGTGTAATACCACTTTGTAGAGCATTTCCCGGACTCGTTGATGCGAAAGACTACCAGAACATTGATACACAGTGGCGCCTGCTTAGGAACACTCAAGAAATTAATGTGTTTAAAGATGATGCCGAAGATTTCTGGGCAAATGTGGCTCAAATGAAAGGCGGTGACGGTACACCATTATTTGGACTAGTGACTTCATTCATTTTTAACATTTTTTCTTTACCGCACTCGTCTGCGAACGTGGAGAGAATTTTTTCTGCGGTAAATTTAATGAAAACCAAAAACCGCAACCGCCTGTCAACTGATGCTTTAGTTGGGCTTTTACACACTAAGAGACACATAGGCGGTAGAAACTGCTATGATTTTAATATACCTAAAACCATGTTCAGTAAACTTTCATCGCAAGGTTGGTATAACAAATAATCTTTTTTGGTTTAAGGTACATTAAGATCATAGCAGTTTTTATTTTATTGATATTATAATTTATTGGTACAAAATAAAATCTACCGAAAACTACCGAATTTTTACTGGCAACCCTACCGAATTTGTAATTCTTGGTTTTGCAACGCTGCCTCTAGCTGAAACACTCAGTGACAACTGGCATAGAATATTATTGTAGTTTGTGAATAAATAAATAGAATATTGTTTATGTATATAAATTTTGACTTATCGTTCTCTTAGCGTATTCTCCGTTTTCTCATATTGGGCTTCTATTTATCATTTTGAAATGGAGGAAGTCGATTCAATAATTCTTCATTTCCTTCGTCAATTGAATATGTAAGTAATAAAGATACTGATAGAATTTAACATATGACTTGCGACATGTAATATACGTAAACTTCTTACAACATAATTCCCTAATTGGTTTACTTTATTTTCAGAAATATTGATCCTGAGGTAAAGAATATATGTGAACTACCGGTAGAAGTAATAATTGAATCAGCAACTAAATGTCTGTGTGAAATTAATAATTCATTAAAACTGCCAATCCAAATGCCATCTGGTATTTCTCACAGGATTGAAGTTGCCTCTCAAATAGCATCAATTTGTAAGGTAAATTTATTGTTTTTATAAATATTTTCCTCTGCAACTATTACACTATCGAAATAAATAAAAGTTATAATATGAGGTAATACATAATTATGTTACATGATATTCTAGTCTAGTAGATAGTTGAGCAATATAGTTTCAAAGGTGGTAAACTCTAATTTATGCGAAAAAGAATTTAAAGATGTTAATATTTTCTCTATAGTTAATTCTTCACTACACTATATTAATTTAGTCACAAAATTGGCAATCTCTTATAAATAAAGTGATTTAAAATTTTGTGCTAGTAACAAAATATGGCAGTCACCGTTCTGGCCAATTAGAGCCCAGCTTTTTTTATGGTACTGGATTTTAGAACGTGAAGATAGTGTGATAAAGGTGTTCTATAATAAACAAACACTAAAGACAATTTAATTCAGAGTTAGTCAAGAATAAGGAAGAGAAATCCAGAAAACTGGAAACAAAATGTTAAGGAAATAGAGTGGTTTGTTACTGAGATGACTTGTAATTGTCTATTACCATTTTTATGGAAAAAATATACTTATTTCATTTGAATTTACTTAAAAAGGACTAGTTTTGTTTTACTTTAAATGAATATCAAAATTTACTGATTATTTCTTTCTTTTTTACTTTTTATTTATAATCGGTGATAATCAGTACAAACAAATGTGTTAAAAATTTATTGATATTTCTTAAAATATTCTTCTATAGAGTAAATGAAGGCAAATAAGAGGCATAACAAATTAATATACTGAATCCTCCTTAAATTCTTTGTAAGAGAACATAATAGAGATGCGCCTTGTTCACTCTGTATTTGGCTGAATTATTTGATTTTGGTGCTGTATATATTCAGATTGAGTGCTTATATTTCTTGGCTACACAGCATGGTATGCAACCAAAGACAATACTTCTTTTGTAACATTTATGTTTATTGTAAAAAAAGAAATCCTTTGAAATTATAAATATTTATTTTATAAACTATAGTCAACGTGTTTAAACTTTGAATCGACATTTAAAATTGTTAATAAATACACTTAAGGGGCAAATTGGCAAACATAGACACTATAGAAATATATGTAGAGACAAGACTATGAAAATAAAATAGAGATCAGAAATAAGTAAAATAAAGGATACATAAAAAGAAACATAATATACTAATATTTATAAATTAATCTTAAATTATAGTGCAGACACATCAAGCTTTGCCTTCTTTGGCAAGTCTATTGCATATTTTTCATATAGGTTGCTTGTTTACGAAGTAATCATTAGCTACACATGCTCTATATGACCAGGAGCACTGAGAGACACTCTGACTAATAAAAATAATGAAATTGTAAACTGAATAACTCTGCTGAATATCTGGTTTGGTTAGGCTTAAACCAAATATTATTCCATATTTGGTTATTCAGTGAAAGCACTATTAGGCATCTCTAGTAAATAATAATAAATTGTTAGGTGTCAAAAATCTTTTCACCACTACAAAACTGAGATAACTTGAAGAATGACGAGGAACTTGTGTATCTTAAAAATTTGATTTGGATAACAATGAAAATAATACCTTTTGAGAATGTCAAGATGATTCCCAAAACTTAAGAGTTTGTTAATTTATTGAACTTTATTGACCAATATAAAGATGGTTCAAAAGGCAGACTTAATGATAACAGCAAGAATGCTATTATTATTAAGTCCGGCGAGAACTCCCAGTCAATCTTTGAGAAAATTGACAACACCATGGCAGTACAGAGCAATAAAAATATGTGAATAATTTAAATAAAACTGCAACATCAAATACTAATCATAAACATACTGCAATATATAACATTTGTAATTTTATTTTAACACACAAAATAATTTTATTTAAAATTTATATATGTGATTATGTAGAGTTAAAAAGATATGTCTACATACTAAACTAGTTATTCAAAGTGTTCACCCTTAGCTTTAACGCAGGATTTTAAACAGTCGGGCCATTCTTCGATGGATTTACGAACGGTTCCCATTGGAAATTTGGTCACTGCTGCCTCCAAAGATATCTTAAGACTCAATATTTGGGTGATGCTTAGAGCAGGCCATGTCCTCTAGCACAGATCACAATTTATAGTCCAAAGGGTCCAAGTCCGAACTAGCCGAAGGCCAATCATCAGCTTTTATGAAGTCTGGAACATTTTGCTCAAGCCACCGCGCCTAATGACATGGGGCTGAATCCTGTTGGAATGTCCACACTTCGTTTTTGAATATGGTGTTGCTGAGAGGTTTAACTGCCGCTTCTAAGACGGTATCTTGATACACTTTGGCTGAAGCTTTCACTCCTTTTACGCAAAAGTGGAATTTTGTAACCCCTTGGTAGAAAGACCCCACCAAATCATGACGTCTGCTGGATGATGGCCTCGCTGAACTTTGGCCACTGTCTCGGAAGCTTCTTTAGAGTTGTGTGCATACACTTGATCATTTTGTTTGTTATAGTGCTCCTCGATTGTAAAATGTTTTTCATCAGTAAAGACAATTTTACTGTATTTTTGTCCGCGTGTCGAAGTAACAGCTGTTTTGATCTTTCGACTCTCTTTTGCTTTAGTGCCTGATTCAAGATATGTCCTGTGTATCTCCCGTAAGCCCCTAGACCTAAGTCTTGTTTGATAATCCGAGAAAGTGTCCTCGGTGGTATTCTCATTTCTCTGGAAAGGATTTTCTGCTTCCTTATGGTATGGTATTTCGACTTATTCTGGCCTTGACTGCATTAACGGCCTGGTTTATTTGAATAGACCGCGGTCGACCAGATCTCTCACGGTCATCAACAGACATGGTTTCAGTGCACCTTTGGATGGTACGATACACAAACATTTGGCTAATCCCTAGCTTTTTCAATGTATCAAAAATGTCGGCTGGCTCCTTGCCTACTTTGTACAGTGTAATTACTGCAATCCTACTTTTTAATAGGACTTTTTTGAAAGATTGAAGAGTAAATGAGTTGGACATAAAGCCAGTATGAAAAAGAGGAGTGGATAGTGAGAGAGATTTTGCAGAACGCAGATGACGACCATGAGTGTCGGTGTATGAGATACCTCCCCTGACGATTAGGAAGCCATTTTAGCTGAAACCGTTAAGAGGAAACATATTCGAACTTACGAAGACAAGATGAAACGGATAGCATTATTGATAAGGGGGTCTAAATTATGAAGAAGATATTCATTTAAATTTGGCTAACAGACATCGGCATAGTCAATTAGTGGAAGAACAAGAGAAGTGGCAAGAATTCATGAAATACCTATTTCAGGAACAAATAAATATTTGATTAACAAAAATTATTGCAATAAATTAACAAACTAAAAGTTATTAAATTATTATAACAATATTTTGGGGTTTATTGATACATATTTCTATAATTAATAAATAATTTATCTCTTGCCTTGTGCTATCTATACTTTCTATTTTCATAGTTATTTAGACAAGGTTGCAGCTTATTAGCAATTTATGGTAATAATGGTATTTTCTTTTCAGGACATGGGTTATAAAAATGATGTTGGCTATCAAACTTTCTTGTATCATAATGAAACAGATTTAAGGCATATATTTATGTTTCTTATTGAAAATTTACCAAATGAAGGCCAGCAGAACACAGTTAAAACTACAACTAATAATAGCAAATCATTGTTGTTAGGAGAAATAAGTAATAAAATTGGTGAACAAATAAATTCTATTTGGATACCACCTTGTTGCAACCCTACAAATAAAAAACATTTTGGGGACTTTGTTTTTAAAACTGGTTAGTTATGTTTTATATATAATTTAATCATAGTTTGATGCATTTCAGTCAATGTCAAATCAAGCTTAAATAGAAATTGATGGTCCATACAAATGAATACCATGCAAATAGGCCAAATTATTTGATTAATATCTGAATTATAGCAAATTTTTTAATGAAACCTGTTTTAATAATACAATAAGGTCATGAAAACTCACAGACTGCCTCTGTAAACATTATAAACTTTCATATTAAATTAATTATTACTTACTTTTTTATTTCATAGATTCTTGGTATGAAAGTAAAGAGGGAAGTTCCTTAGATGAAAAGGATTTAGTTGAAAAATTAAGGTTATTAAAACCTAACAATGAAATTGAGAAATTAGTTACATCACCTCAAGTGGAAGTACAATTAAAGCAGTTTGAAATTAATAAAAGCTTGAAAGAGCTTAAAGAACACTCAATTGTATTACATCAAAAATTAGATACCCTGGAAAGTGAGCAAAATGTTATGGATGTTGAATTTTCTCAGGTATAAACCTAGAATACACACTATTTAAATTGTCTATTAAACTAGTTAATTCTTATTGGCTTACTCTAGAAAATACTTACACTCTATTTGATCTAACATTCATTAAATGAGATATTTTTTCTGTTGGATATTGGATGAATGAACAGATGCTTACCTCTTGAAGATTTGCTCTTTCTTTCCCTACATCTTGAGGAGAATCGTTTTTACGGAATGGGATTGTTATTGTTGTTCCGTCCCTCTTCAATAATAATAACTATTGAATGTCTATTTCAGGTACAGAGAGCATGTGAAAAAGTTGACACAGAAATGAAGAATGTCCTTAATATATTGGAGATCACAGGTATATCAGATATTGATGGTGCAGTTGGCAACATTGTGGAAAAAGTTCATAATAATATAAATAGTTTGCATAGGAAGAGTGAAGAGCTGACATCTAGAAATCTCTCACTTAAAATAGAGTTAGATAAAATAAAAAGTCAGAAGGATTTAAATGAGGTATACTTAATTTATACATTGTTAAAATATATAATATTATCCCATAGTGTAACTTCATATTTTTATTTTAGTCAGAGAAAAGCAAGTGTAAAAGCATTTTAGAGAGTTTAAAAGAAGAGGCAAGAACTATAAAAGATGAATATAACAAAAATGAAGACACAAGAAATCAATTGAAAAAACTTTATGAAAAATCCAAAGGAGGAAATAAGAGGTATTTATTTCCTGATCTATTGGTTTAAATTAATTCACTTCAAACCAGGTTTAGCCACTTATTAGTTATTGTGTATTAGGTCTTCTAACATTAATTATGCATTTATTATTAGCTATTCTTTATTAAGCAATACAAAATAATGAAGAATAAATAAAAATAGAAGTTGCCTCACTTTTGTGTCCAAATCACCAAACCAAACCATCAACATTATTTTTACCGCTTTAGGCGATGGTCTCTCTGGCCCTAGTTTTATTAAATAATGTATTACTGCATCCCCCGCTCACCCCAGTGCGGGGTCGGCAGGTTATGTGGGGTTCTCCCCTGCGCCCCCGCCCCATGAACACAGAATACAGTACAGAATACAATGGCATGTATGTTCTTCACTTTTTGCTTGTTCTTCTTGTCAGCTAAAAGTCTTAGGACGACTTTGTGGTAGGGGAATAAAATTGGACGATTCAAAAGTGCTTGTAACAAGCTTACTTGAATAAAGATATTTTCATTTCATTTTATTCGTTTCGTTTCATTTTGTACCTACGCTCGATGGTAGAGCTAGGATTGTCTTTTTTTTTTAATTATTTTATCCATGGAATATATCTAAAAATCATATAATATTAATAAGTTACATTCTAAAAATAAATTTGATTAAATTATATCCAAAAATATATTTATTTATTTACAGCAAAAAAATATTTGGCAACTTTGCCTTATACATAAACATTATCGTAGTGTAGCCTGCATACCGTAAAAGTTATTCTACAATATTTAAAAATAAAAACAATTAACATGCTATTACTATACAAAATGTTACAGAACAAGACATCAAATTTTTTATTGGACAATTTTCACTATATAAAATCCTAAATAATTTAATGAATCATCCTACTTACTAAATTTCTTGGTTCTATCCGTTTTAGACCTAAACCTCAACCATTAATGTTTTTCTTAATGCACCATGACTACCCAATTTTACAATTGTATCCTGAATATTATGTTGAGGTTTCCTGGAAGAAATTGCTTTTTAGCAATTAGGCCACCAATTTTACTGTCTATCGCATTATTATGTATTGTTAATTTACTTATGGTGTGTACAATAAAGAGTCTTTCATTCATTTATTCAACAGTGTTGTGCAACGCACTTTGTTTGTAGATTGTATTCTGTATTATATTCTATGCCATAAGGTGGGCTAGTCAAAAAGCAAGGGGATACCCATAAACCTAGCGATGTCCATGAACACGATGCATGCGTGCAGCACGAACCCACACCCCCTTGCAGCGTACCTCTACGCGTAGCAGATACGATTCAGGAACGTTTCGGTCATACCCCAATATAAAAAAGCGGGTCATACAGCGGGGTCGTTCAATGCCCGGTTAGCAAGTAAACCAACCATGCTGTCTCCACCTCTAACAGTATCTAATAGGAAAAATTTAATGAAATAAGATCATATTAATGAAGTTTATTGACTCCTTGTTTATTTGTATTACAACTAGTGTAGTGTTGTGTGACTGGATATTAATAGTACAGACGGAGATGTAAGCAATTATTGTTTGAGAATGGTAAATTTTATTTTTAGGTCAATTTATACAAAACGAATATTAGAAATAATTAGTAATGTTGACAAACAAAATATGGAAATAAAGAAGATAATTGAAGACACGAGGCAACTACAAAAAGAAATTAACAGTCTCGAGGGGCAACTGGATCGCTGTTTTTCCATTGCAGATGAGACATTGTTTAGGGTAATAAACTCACTTTATTTTTTTTTGTCTATGTTAAAATAATGTAATATCGTAAGTTTATACTTTTAAATAATGAAGTGACCTGCAGCGAAGGCAGACAATTAATAATTATCGATTAGAATACAAAACACAGAAAAAAGGTTAGAAAGGCGATCATGCATCCTTTGTACAAAAATCGATTGTTAATTAGTTGGTTGATTCAGTAAGAAATATTTTTAAATCACTTCCTAATAATGAACTAACATTGAATCGGTACTAGTCGTGCTTAAATATTGATTTGAATATATGTTTGTTGGTTTGTTTATAAATAATAATAGTAGATATTTTTTTACGTTACGTTATTCGATTTTGCCGATCTTATCAAGTAAACAGATAAGATCGGCAACATCGCTTAAATGAAACTTGTAATATTGACAAACAATATAATGTAAATAAATTTATACAAAATAAATACAATTAGTACAATAAATGCTATTGGAACTTACCCCGAACAGATTCCGCTGATTTAAAAAGTATTGTTGTTAATGGTTTAAATAAAAAATCTAATTATCGACTAGTAATATCATGGTCGTGAATCGAACTCACGACCTTGAGATTACTAGTCGGAGCTCTTACCGCTACGCCAGCTGTTGGTTGGTAAACTTGTCAACATTTATAGCTTATATGGTGAAAAAGTCGCGAAAAAATTTTTTTTTCGAAACGCTTCGCCATCTGGATTTCCCACTTTGAGTAATTTCATCTCTTACCAAGTCCTACATGTCCTATAAATTTGAGCGAAATTGGTGATGACGAGTAGGGAATGCCCACTTGTTAGTTATCAGTACAAATACGAAAAGTATAAATAGAATATCGGTAAGTTGCACAAAAGTCCATTAAGGTTTAATGATGCCTTTAAAGCTCTAATGAATGTCAAATTTGTATGGGTAATGGCGCTTTAAACTAATGAAACTTTAATGCACATTAGTGCAACTGGCTGTTAGTGTTGTTAAATGCAAATAGTTGAGATTCCATTGAGATGCGATAATTAAGAAAAACTTTGCAGAATCGGCCTACTGTTCTAAAATCGATTCATAATCCCATTTAGGTCTGTAATTCTTTTTTTTTTATCTTGCAAAAATGATCATATTGAAATTGATTGATCATAGAAATTTACTTGAAAATTTATTAAATTGGCTAAACACCAAACAGCACATTATTGTGTAGTAATTTAAGCAAAAAATTTTATTTTCAGGATGCAAAAAAAGATGATCAAGCTAAGAAAGCCTATAAATTGTTAGCACTATTACATTCAGAATGTAGTACAATCGTGTCATTAGTAAATGACACAGGTAGTATAGCCAGAGATATTGTCGATTTGGAGGATAATATAAAAACCGAAAAAAGTAAAAGAACTGAAGATACCCTTAAGAAAATTCATTTAGATTTGGCGACAATGCACCAAGAATCTCAAACAGTACTTTAGAGAAGTACTGTTTGAAATTACGACAGAAATATTGCATTTTTTATAATTTCAAAAATGTTGCACTTTAGTTTCTTTATAGATTAGATATTTAATATATAAACATAATATGTGACCATTTGAAATGGCGATCTGATAATTAAAGAAAGCATTACAATGTATATAACATTTCATATATAAATTTAAAAAATACGTCGATTGTTTTATTGTAACTCTTACACAGAATTGTACAAACGTCCAAACTCTTACAAAGAATAGGGAATATGCACATTTTTGGAAAATGGTTTTATATGATAATTTACATCGATATATAACTGTAAAAAAATACCCGGCACATTAAATTTTGTAACATAAATAATTGATGAAAATAAGTAATAGCTACGAGCTGTTTAAACACCGGATTTTTTGGCGCGCTCATCGTGACGTCAAAGTACGACTAGAGATATGACATTTTAATCAATATGGGTTTTGAGTGATTGATTATTTTTCAATTACCTAAAGCGATTAACAACTAAGCGATTTTTAAAGTATAATAGACTTTTTTAATAAATCATATAATTTACTTAATTGGTGAAATAAAAATAAAAGCTTAAAACATCATTTAAATTGTAAACAGTTGTTTATTTTGCGACATAATACATTGATGTTATTGCATCGACGTTAACTTTTTGTAACAACGACATCCCTTTACGTGTACATTTTCGTCACATCCGCTCTGACAAGTAGCATGGCGTTTAAATATTTTGAAGTTACCGCATTTATTTCGCACTTTTTAATAATTATTTTCAAGACGAAAACGAACTAATATTGAAAAATATTTAGATAGACTTTATTCTAAAGCAATAACGATTGTAATAAAATATATTTAACCTTTTTTTGAATCAGACGCATATTCCCTATTGTGGCACCCAAATGGGAGACATCCTTTTGGAGAGCGGGTCTTCGACAAAGAGCCACTGCCCCTCCTTATCAAATACGAAACCTACATCATTTGATAGACTTAGCCACATTAGCACCTCCACAGGTGGTAAACAAATTAAAATTTGAGGTTTGGAGAATTCGGGGTGGAACAAATTGGTAAATGACTGGTCAGAAAGTAATGCTGCTTTACTAGAACTCTTGGAGGAAGTCAACACTACGTTCATATAAGGCAGCCTGGAAACGATGGCTGGACTGCTGTTCTTCAAATTCAGTATGCCATCAAAACCAGACACCCTCTCAATTGACACTTTGTATGCTACCTACACACTGTATTAAGGTTAGCCCCAAGAACTACAGAAGTATACAAGTCAGTCGTTTGTACCTTCTCGAATCCTTCTAACGAATGGCTAGATCCACAATATCAGTTTTATTCCCTTTGGGGGAAAAGCAGTTCTAATTAAGGTCTCGTCGTTTTTTAACCGACTTGAAAAAAGGAAGCTATCAATTTAAGGAGGTGTGTATGTAATTTCGTTGGGATGGCGTAATATTTATAAATGTTGGTCTATATGGGCTTCTAAACAAGTATGCAGTTTCATAGATAAATGTATGCTTGTCCACGAATATAAGCAAACTAGAAGTCGGAATGCAATGATTCTTGTTTGTTTAATTGCTTAGCTTTCAACTAAGGGTACACTACAAGTTTCATTAAAATCGGATCTGTAGTTTTGAAGATATAAACTTCTGAAATTTAAGCTACTTATGAAAGGACTAGAAAATTAACAGACTTAGAAAAGGTGTAAAAATTGATGAACTTATTTTGAACCAACTTCAAAAAGAAGGCCGTCAGTTTACCTGTGTATGTACGTCATTAACCGACGTCAAAAAAAGAGGTTCTCAATTTGACTTATATATATGTAATTTAGTTAGAATTTGGCGCAATATTCATATATATTAATATTTATACATGTGCTACATTTATAAGTATATAATATATGTCTGTATGTCAACCTATTTCTCATAAATTAGATATTGGATTAAATTTAACATTTTTGTTTGATTACTATTTTTTAACTTTATGACACAACATAAGAAAAACTGCAATCCCAATAAAAACGATTTGCGTCAGAATAGTTTAAAATTGTTACCACCATAGAAAATGTTTATCCGGTAAATGTAAGTATTTATAACATAGAAGTAATATGGATCGGTGATAACTTCTGTTATTAAAAAAGGAAAGAAACCCAAACTTTAAAAAAAATTATTGGCTTCAAACTTACTTCTTTTTCAGTCGTTTCTTTTTATTAAGGCTTACGATTTAAAAAAAAAACGACTGAAAAAAGAAAAATAATACCACAACAATTTTATCTTCAATAAAATCGAAACACAAAAACTAAAAATAAACTTTTTGTGAACTTTTAAGTTGTTTAATTTTTGTTTGTGTGAAAATTATCTATAGGCATTTTTTTACATTGTTATGTTGACTGCGTTTTTTTTTATTATAGGATAACAACAGTTAAAATTATGTTATGAAAGTTAAGCAGGTCTTCATTTCGTATAATGGTTAAGATACCTACCCCATTCTATCCATCTCAAAAATGTAATGTTTATATTACATCTTCAGACCCTGTTATAAATAAATAGATATAATTGAACATTATTTTTATTTGTGTTATTCATCCATACATATTCATTTTCGCATAGGACGAATTTCTGGAGGAATATAATCTTCATCTGCTTTTTTGGAACTTTTTTTGTTAGCAGAGGCAATGTCCTCACTTGTTTCTTTTTCCTCTATTTGAAGATCAATAGCATCTTCATTTTCAAAGAACCACAATTTCTGTTCCTCATTTTTAAGATCTTCTTGTTTTTGACAAATGAACTCAATGCGTTTAGCTCTATCCAGCCGTTTCGTTTGTTCAATCACTTTTTGTTCTCTTATATTTGACCATAATTGAAACAACTGAAAAATAAAAAAAACAAACGTGTATTAAACTATAATTTTACAGAAAATTTCAATTTTTTTCCATTATAAGTGAGTAGGTTCTAATAGCTGTATTTATATGTATTCAATAGCTTCTTTGCACATTATCTAAACTTGCATATCCATTACCCAAGAGTTCCTTTTGTGGCTGCTTAGCTGCTAGAAGATAGCTATAAAATCAAACTTGTCAACTAGCTAGTTTCTATGAATACTCATAGAAATTAGCTAGTCGGCAGATTTGATTTATCAAAATATGGATCTAAGAGTATACTCTCTTAGAATATTTTAATGTAGAATGGGAGTAAAGCCCTTTATAACAAAGCTACCATGTCAATTGAAGTGTCTGAGATTGATTTACACAGGTATGATGCACAGATATCAAGGAAGGTGATTTAAAGCTTGTAAACGGTTAGTTAAATAAAGACACAACCTTAAATTTAAACATTAACAACATATTTTCATGAAAGATAATTTTTCATATTTAAACGTTTTCTATCTATAACTGAGTCTATGTACAATGTATTATTGAAATTTTAGGAAAACCCCTACATTTTTATTTTTCATAAATTTTTGTAACTCTCACCTGGTGCTGCTTTTTAATGTCACTATTTTGAATTTTGTTGATTGAATTCTCTATCATTGTTTCTATTGCTACCTCTATAGGTTCTTTTGCATGACTTATTTTGCTCAACATAGACACACAATTTTCTAATATTGATTTTGCATCTCCTTCAATAGAATTGATTTCCTTATTTAAAAAATCAATCACTTCTTTATATATTGTTGAAGAAGGTTTATGTACAAAATTTTTACATATAATTAGCAATTTATCATATTTCTTATAACAACACCATCCAACAATCTGTAAGTTGGTACTTAAGTTATCTGAATTCCTTTCTGAAATCCAAGCTAAGGTTTTACCAGATAATGTATATACATCATTTATATCGAAATGGTCATCAAAATATGGATTTCTTAAAAATTTTACTCGGATTTTGATTTCATCAACTTTCTTCTTCTTGTCATCTATCAACTCTGGTTCTATTTGTTTAGTATGATTCTTAATAAATTTAAAGCAAGCATAGAGACATAATGAACATGTGATTTCATTATTATAATCTTCCTGTAACATGATTAAAGCTGCAACATTAGCAGCTTGTTCAAAATCCGAAGACTTAATTAGTTTATCTAATAATATATTTGCAGAAAATTCGTCAAGAAACAGTCCATAATTCAAAGGATCTTTCAAAATACTTAGTAAATCTTGAATATTTCCATATTCAATATAATTTCTTATAGTGGCATGATGTGTTGATTCCAACGTGTGGCCTGTTTCCGCAGACAGTCTCAGTCTATGAAGTAAATCGCGAAGTTCATCAAGGTGGGATGCATCTTTGATAGCATTGGCAAAAATATCGACGTCAACAGCACTTATGACTCCTTTTGAAGAGTGTTGAACATCTATTTTATTATAAAAATCATTAAGGTTTATTTGGTCTATCGTAGGAGATAAAGTTTGTTTCTTCCAAGATTCATCGCACTTATAATCGTTTGTCAAAAAAGACTGTCTTTGAATATAAACAGCAAGATGTTTAATCCGTTTTGGATTATAAATACGTGCATTTCGAAACATATTAAGAATGACACTAGATATTTGTCGATTTAATATTAAATATAATAATCGTAAGTTTTGGTTACTTTGGACAAGTACACAGACTTAGTAGACAAGTACAAAATTTAATGAGGAAGTAGGGATGATCGATATTCATCGATGTTTAGCTAGAAAATATCGATGTTTTCTAGCCAAACATCGATGTTCAGTTTTCGATAAATATCGGACATCGATGTTGGGCTTACGATGATGGCATCGATGTTTTTCTAATATCGATCATCCCTATGAGGAAGTATTTAAATAAATTAAAGAAACTACAAAAAATATTTTACTAGATGGTAGCACAAAGAGAACACCACGAGAGCACACTTGTCAGTATTGTTATGGATCTGATAACTCGATTCATTCGTTGAAATTCTATGAGGAAGTATTTAAAAAAAAACGAAAACACTAAAAAGGCACCTCCACTAGATGGCGACTCTAGCAAAAGTTGTTTCTTACAAACAAATTTGCTAGCTGCTTTTGCCGTTCCTTTTAATTAACATATTCGTTAAGAATAAATGAGAATATCTATTGAATTCGAATAAAATATTTACTGACTAAAGAAAATATAGCAGAAACTCTTCTTATAAAAATAACAACAAGTTAGCAACTAAAACATGTTAAGAACTTAGAACTAGGAACAAGTATCTTCATATATTTGTCTTTGGTATGTATATACTTCACATCCTCCGTTCCTTTTTTTAGATGTTTGATATCTAAATTCAGCAGCCCAATCCCTCTGCTTAACTCCTGCAACCTTGGGTCAAATAGATAGGCTTTGTGAACATGTCAGCTAGCTGTAGCTCTGAGGTCACTTGTTTGACCATAAACTCTTCCTTGCACACACACTCTCGAATAAAGAAGTGTTTTAACTTTATATGTTTCGTACGCTTATGATACTCATATTGCGGGTTGTGTGCAAGTTTTATAGCTGACTCATTGTCTAAGTTTAGCACATGTTTGTCCGTTTGAATTAGACCATTTAGTAAGCGATTAAGCCACAAATTTTCTTGCGCTGTTTCACTGGCTGCTATGATTTCCGCTTCTGTTGAAGAAATAGATACAGTGGATTGCTTTTGGCTCTTCCAACTAATTGCTGTTCCAGAAAATAAGCACAATTAGCCAGACGTTGACCTTCCATCTGTTTTGTCTCCAGTGTAGTTTACATCACTGTAATAGACAAAGTATGACGGTGATTTGGGTGTATAAATAAGACCATAATTTTGTGTCTTTTAAATAGCGAAATATACGCTTGACGCGCAGTATAGCTGATTTTGTAGGTGACTCCAAATTACGAGATACTGTACCATCGGGTCTTGTACCTACTGCTAAATATGCTGAGGAGCCCACGGCTTGCCTATATGGGAAGTTTGCATTTACGTGCTCTTCTTCTCCCATCTCATTTCCTTTGATAATCGGCGTTGGTACAGATTTACAATTAGACATGCCGTATTTTTGTAAAACTTTCTTTGTGTAAGTCTTTTGACATAAGGTTATTCCTTTGTCTTTGCGCACATTTATTTCCATTCTAAGAAAGTAAGAAACAGGTTTAGTTGTTATCTTGAATCTCGTAGTTAATTCTTTAATAAATTCTTCTCCTGCTACTTTTGTGTTGTATGCCACAAGTCCATCATCAACATAAAGGTCAAGAAACACTTTGGATTCTCCTCTAACTCTCGTATAAAGACATTAAAAATTCGGTTATAATGTATTCCAACATCGAGGTGCTTACTGTAGTCCGTAAAGACTGCGTTTCAACTTGCAAACTCGTTTTGTACCATCTTGATAACCTTCAGGTTGTTTCATGTAAAGCTCTTCCTGAACTTCACCATAAAGGAACGCAGTCGACACATTAAACTGGTGTAACTTTAAGTTTTCTCGAGCGCTAATTGCTAACAACGTTCGTACTAACTGGTGTAACACATTAAACTGGTGTAACTTTAAGTTTTCTCGAGCGCTAATTGCTAACAACGTTCGTACTGTACTCAGACGTACCACTGGGCTAAAAGTTTTATCGTAATCCATTCAAAGTTGTTGTGAATAACCCTTAATAACCATTCTGGCTTTATATCGTTTTATGGAACCCACTTGCAAGACAGGGCTTTTCGTCCCTTAGGTAAATCCATCGGTTCCCAGGTTTGGTTGTCATTTAGTGAATTAATTTCACTGAGCATGGCTTTAAATGTTGTAGGTTCTTTAGGCTTATGAAGATTTTCTATTTCTTCAGCTGCAGCCATTATAAAATCATCAAAGCGTTTAGGAACACTGATTGCAGACCTGTCTCTCAAGGATCTTGGTTCATCGTTTTGCACAATGTCTACTACGTTATCGATTTGTATTTGTGCATCATCGTTATCATTGTCATCGTCATCATTAATATAACCAGAAAGTGATTCATTACTGCTAGACGCGTGATCATAATCATCAATTGATATATCCACTTGTTTGTGCGTATTTTTAATGTCTTTGTTTTTGAAATTATTGAGAAGAATTGACAATTCGTTTTTATTTTCATGTTCCTTGTAGTACATTGTTTTCATGACTCTATTGTCTTTTGAAATAAGAACAATGTTTTTAGAAGGAATAAAAATTCTGTAAGCTTTTGATTTTTCAGAGTTCGCTTTAGGTGCAAATTTATTATTTTTAGAACCCTTTCGTAGCACGTAAGTCTTCAAACCAAATGCATACAAATGATTAATGCACGGGTGTCTCCCAACCCACTGTTTAAAACGCGTTTCATTTCCAATAGCGGTATTAATACTTCTATTTGATAAGTAATTTGCTGTTGTTATTACTTCGCCCCAAAGTCTAAATGGTGCGTTTGCATCAATCATCATTGCTCTCGCTTTCTCCACGAGTGTACGGTTCTTACGTTCGGCAATTCCGTTCTGATTCGGAGTATAGGGTACGGTTAACCTACGCTGTATCCCACAATGTTTGAGATAAGAATCAAATTCTTTATTTACATACTCTTTACCGTTTTCAGACTGAATGAACTTGATTTTGTTTCCAGTATGCGTTTCAGCCAACTCTTTAAATTCTTTAAAATAATGGAGAACTTCGTTCTTGTTTTTCATTAGATAAACTCTAGAGTATCGAGTATAGTCGTCGATGAAGGTAACAGATATTTGTTTCCACGTACTGATGCCGTTCGAAATGGTCCACAGACGTCAGAATGAATTATTTCTAGGCAGGCTTTTGTTCGCTGATTCACTGTAACTGGCGCAGGTACCTGATGTAACTTGGTTTGAATGCAAGCTTCACATTCATTTAATGATTCAGATTTATCAAAATTTAAGCCAATCAAGTACTCTTTATTCAGTGCAAGTTTCATATCTTTAATATTCGTATGGCCTTATTTTCTGTGCCCATCATTTATGTTCGATGATTTTATTTTGTGCACGTTTGGAATGATCAAGTTTATCATTGGCCATATTGTTACGCTCAAGTTTGTAGGGATTAATAAAGTTAAGGCCATCTTGTTGTTTAAATGCAGTAAGAGTGATTCGTTTTTTGTGATTATCGACAGTCGCTTTATTTTTAGAAAAATGAACAGTACAGCCAGCGTCTGTCATTTTGCTGACTGACATCAGATTCGTATGCAAACTAGGAACATAAAGAGTGTTTTGAAGATGCGTTATAGCTCTTTTATCACCATTTTTAGTTTGAAAAGTGACTGTACCCTTTCTTTTAATATCTGCAGTAAAATCTTCAGTTGCAAAGTTTAATTTTCTTGATGTATTCTCTAAAGCTTTAAATAAATCTCGTTGATAGGTCATATGAGATGTGCAACCACTGTCTAACACCCAATTGTTGTTATCAGACTTCCCGTTACGTATAAGGAGGCATTGAGTGGCGAAGTGGTTCTTCAATGAGTTGTCGTACCTCTTGTTTAGCTTTTCTTTGTTTTTATTTGTTTGGAAACAATTTGTACAAATTTTATGATATTTGTGTTTGAAGATGTTACCTCTTCGTTCGCAAACTCTACAAGATGCATACAGTGCATCCTCTTGTTGTGAGAAATCAGGTTCTTCATTATTAACTTAGTTTTTGTTGTGACGCGCATCAGATTCTTTAATGATTTTTGTCTTAAACTCCTCTGGCTTAGGAAGAACGTCTCGTGAATCTCAAGCCACTCTGAAATAAGGTATTTGACACTATCGAAAATAAGTTGCATTTTGTGGTCATGCTGATAGATAATAATCTAATAAAGTTTATTTCTTAACATCTGCAGAAAAAACATGTTTAGATTTAGTAAAATAACGTAAAGAAAATGCAATATTTTTAGGAATTTATTCAACGACGAAAACGTCCTATAATGGGAATGATGACTGGGTAAAAAAAAATGCAATTCTATTTAGTCCGTCAGTCAGATAATAGAAAAATATTAGATACGTATTTTTTTTTACTTCAATTTAACAAGAAATAGCTTAGATAACAGGCATTAAAGTTGTGGAGTGGGGGCTCGCTACGTCACAGTTGAGCAGAAAACGTACCCTAACGTGACGTCATGTGAAATTTCAACTCAATGTAACGCCGTAATTTTATGATTACGAAAAGAATAAAAAAATACGTGTTTAATATTTTTTAACACTCTACCTGACGGACTAACAAACAAAAATTAGTCATCATCCCTATTGGTTGTCGTCACAACCAATCACGAATCTGTTTACTGGCCTGTGACGTCATCAGCTGTCATGTCAAAGTAGTGTTAGAAAGATACATAAAATATCGATGCCTGTAGGTATCGAGTACTTTATAGTAATTTACTGATAACAGAATACTTTGCCGCATCTACTGATAAGAACTGCCAAAAATAAATACAGAAAGAAAGAATCATTAACTAAGCTTTTTAAAAAATCCAAGAAATGGGAAAACGCCAGCAATTTAAAAAAAGAGCAACTTACATGTTTTTCTCATTTCTTGAACTTTAATATAATAATTCAAAATTACAAAGTCGATTTTGATGATATATACTGTTCTCCAAGTTAAAAACTAATTTTAAAAAATCATCGAGATCTGATATCTAATTATCAAATGCCATGCATTTAGTGAACAGACATACTACATGCATGTATAAAAAAAATAGAACATTTTTTATCGTACTAATGTCTCATCCATCTGTAGGTCGACAGGCTGTAAAGTGCGAGTCCAGTCAACAATTATAAATGAGTCGTAAAATGTTTATGACGAAGAAAAAAACCAAAAGAAAACCTTCAAATGTATCGATATGAAATAAAAAAGGTTTAATACTTTTAGTGAATCCTTACCTTATTTTATCACCCATCTCTACTCTATATAGCTACTATACTATTGTGATTGTGAATCTACTTTCTTCTAGACTCGAAGTTTGTTTGTTATTTATAGAAGTATTAGTACATTGTGGTACTACGCACACTTGCTGCTCATTTTTTAAAGAAAACCCGAGTAGAGGAAAATAAAAAACGTAAAAAATACGCACTACGACTTCAATTTCTCTTCTAAATTATTATTTCAATTAAGTTTAAAGATAGTTGTTACTTATCGATTTGACATATTTACTGGCCTGTGACGTCACGATCAGCGCCATTACATAGAGCAGCGTTTTTCGCGCGCTTTTGCCTATTTAAATTTTAACAAATATTTTCACCAAAAATAGAAGAGATTCCAATGAAATATTTTGACAGTGTGTTTATAATGTAGCAAACAACCATTTAAAATAGTTTTCAGAAAAGTGTCAAATACTCTATTGTCGAATTCAGCAGAAAGACTATAAAGCAACATTATTGTCAGCAGATCTTCATTGATATGTACGTCCATATCCGATAGTTTGTCAACAATGTCCATGAAGTTATTCAGATGTGTTCGAATAGGAATAGGATTAATTGCTTCAGTAAGGATCTTTACGCGCAGGTCCCATACTTGCATAAATGGACTTCAATTTCTCCCAGACCTGTTTTACTGTATTGCATTGCTTAACTTGTTTGAGTTCTGACGGAGCGATAATAAGTATCAATTCTGATTTCGCTTGTTTGTCGCCATCTTTCTCAGATTCACTAGCATCAATATATTTCCACAGTTTGTGTCATATAAGCACTGCTTCAGCCTGAATGACATGAAAAAAAATCGTTACAAAAGATTCTGATAGTAAAGAACAATGGCTTTAGATACGTTATATTTTTATAATAGAAAAAAGAAAGACGCGTAAGTTGCGTTTTTCTTTATTTTCTTTTTTGCTTAAGCGAAAAAAATATGTTTAGCACTATTTATTAGATATCCCTAACAATCTAGCACTTTTTTAGATGTCTATGCTTACCTTAAGTATCAAGTACTCATGTGGTATCAAAGGATTTCAAAGTATCAATACTACTTAATTTCGAGTACTTAGCGACAACATTTACACCATTACTGCAGTGTTTGGTGGGTATAATTGCCGTATTTTAAAGGTGAAGCTAGATTCCGCTGTCTGCCATAACAACGACATTAAATAAAACATGTTTTATTATTCATTTAATCTAATAATTTTTATTCTTTAATTATTAGACAAATATTATATAGAAAACAAAAAAAAAAATAACATAATTTTTGCTTAACCCAAAATTTAAAACCTCCCCCGAGTTCTCAGTCAGAGATTAGGACTCTAAGAAGTTTCATTGAGAACGCAGTTCTTATTCAAAATTATTGAATATAGGTAATAAAAAATGAAACATATATTATTTGGTTTTTTATTTACTGAATAACACTAGGGCTTTGCTGCAGATTTTGGTAAGGCAATAGCTGGTGCTAATTTTCTTCAAAATTATGTCCGATTTTATAAAATATTGCAATGACGAAGAATTTCATAAAAAAGAAAGCACTAAAAAAGCTCCTCACTTAGATGGCGACTCTACCAAAACTTGATTTTTACCAAAGATAGTCATTTCCATTGCTTTTAACTAATATATTAAAAAAACTTAAATTTGCAAAGTTCGAAACCTAGATATCAATACAAATACGAAAAAGTACAAATAGAATACGAATTGGTTAATGAGTTTTGAAAATTAATTTACTTTTATACATGAAAGATAGATAACCTATCACAAGGGTTGTCACGGAGAAATCAAATAAGTATCATAGCGACATCTAGATGATAGTTTACAGATTTTTCTGATATAGTTTTATTGATTTTATTTCATTCAACTTTCGTATTAATTTCTAGGGTTTTTTCTTAAAAATATTTTTTATTATTATTAACGTATACGATTGAAGGACCTCAGTAGTACATTATATTCAGGTCTGGAAAAAGTTAAAAAGAAAACACAGAATACTACTTCCGTCTTATATATAGAAAAAAATTGTGTTACGATGTATGTTGCCAATAAACTCTAAAACTACTGAACCGATTTCAGTTAAATTTACATGTACCCGTATTTTGGTCAAACTTACCGGATAGGATAGTTGTCATCTCAATTATTTGCTTATGTCGTGAATGTAAACGAATAAAATGTACTAATTAATTGTTTCTTAGGCAAGTATTTATTTAATGTTTAGTTTTATGAAGTTCTCATAGATGGCGGTGTACCGTGATTCATTGATAAAATTCTTCAATATCGTTTGACATCTAAGTTGCAAATAGACCCAATAGATGGCGCTTTGTTTAAGATGGCGTTTATTCTAAAGTAATCTGCGGTAACGTTTTTTTCAAAGAATTTTGCGTAGATTACGTTTTCGATTAAGTTTTGTGTAAACTTTAGAGCTGTTTTTTTTTCATATTTATTTCAAATTGCATTGAATTGGATTAATATCTCTAAAGTTTCAAAGATAAAGTGCTGAAACATATTGGACATTCGTTGGTATTTTGTTGTACTATCTTCGAACTTAAACACCAAGGTAATTTTATCATCAGTTTAAAAACATCAGCGTTTTTGGAAAATATGATGCCTAAAGTAACTATATCACTCGGACGAAGTCGCGGGCAAAAGCTAGTTGTAGAAGCCAAATACCAACCGTAAATAAGTTTTATCGAGTAATACTCGATACCGGCTGTATTATTGAGAACTCAGTATCGAGTATCGTCTATGAAAGTATCGATACCTACTCAGTATCGAAAGTATCTTTCGAACTGTATCTGTATTTGTGAGTCGTGTGAAATTCGTTTAAAGATTAGAAAAACAAATTCGAAAACAGCACACCATTCTTTTACGATCTCGAGTAAAAGCGGAGATTCACTGAAGAAATTCCTTGAAAGAAATAGAACGTAAGTTGATATATTGGCACGCTTTCATCCTTTGTCATATTACTTTTACTGGGTCTCTGAAAGAAAGATAGAGCCACAAATAGACCTGAGAAACCGGCTTTCTAATCATTCAAGTTTAAAAATATGTACGTACATATATCAATCTCTTAAAAAATGATTCATTTAAAATCTAAAATATATTACGAAAATTGAAAGTTATCTCACTAACGAAATTATGAACTTGTGATAGTTAAATAGATTTTATCATTTACTAGTGGCCGCCAGCGACTTCGTCCACATTTTCCATTATTTCTTTGCTCCTAATAGTTGCAGCGTGATGTTTTATAGCCTAATGCCTTCCCCAATAAATGGTCTATTCAACACAAAAATAATTTTTCAATTCGTACCAGTAGTACAAACAAACTTCAGCTTTATAATATTAGTATAGATGGAAATCGTATAATTTACAGATTCCACAATGGCAAACCAATGGGGGCAAAAGGCAGAAGAGTTGGAAATCTCCAACAAAGTTGCAGGACTGGGTTTGAAAAAATCACACAACCAGACAACAGATTCAGACGAATCTCCTGATACTGCAAATCCGGCTGAAGCTTCATTGTTGATGAAAATTATACGGCAAGGTTTAGTGGAATCAAAGTTAGATATTGAAGTCCAAAGGAAGGACCCAAATTCTCCTCTTTATTCTGTAAAAACATTTGAAGCATTACATTTGAAGGCCAACCTGTTGAAAGGAGTGTATGACATGGGTTTTAATGCACCTTCCAAGATTCAAGAAACTGCATTACCTACTTTATTAGCTGATCCTCCACAAAATATGATAGCTCAATCACAATCTGGAACTGGTAAAACTGCTGCATTTGTTTTAGCAATGTTAAGCAGGGTGGATCCAACAAAAAATTATCCACAAGTCTTGTGCCTAAGCCCCACATATGAACTTGCAATTCAAACAGGAGAAGTAGCTGCAAAAATGGCAAAATTTTGTCCAGAGATAAAACTGAAATATGCTGTTAGAGGAGAAGAGGTACCTCGTGGTTCAAAGATAACAGATCATATAATAATTGGAACCCCAGGAAAGATGCTTGACTGGGGTGTCAAATTTGGTATGTTTGATTTGAGCAAAATCAAAGTTTTTGTTCTTGATGAGGCAGACGTAATGATAGACCGACAGGGACATCAAGATCAATGTATACGTATTCACAAGTGTTTACCTTCAACTTGCCAAATGATGTTTTTCTCTGCCACATATGATAGTGCAGTGATGGAATTCGCAGAAATTATTGTTCCCAACCCAATCATCATAAGATTGCTTCGTGAAGAGGAGTCTTTAGATAACATTAAGCAATATTATGTTCAGTGTAAAAATGCTGAAGAAAAATACAGAGCTATATGTAATATTTATGGAGTTATTACGATTGGCCAAGCCATTATTTTCTGTCATACTAGAAAGACTGCAAGTTGGTTATCTGAGAAAATGTCTAAAGATGGTCACTCAGTAGCTGTGTTGTCAGGTGAATTGACTGTAGAACAGAGAATAGCTGTGCTAGATCGTTTTAGAGCTGGCCTTGAAAAAGTTTTGATTACTACAAATGTATTATCTCGAGGTATTGATGTGGAACAAGTTACTCTTGTTGTCAACTTTGATATGCCAATGGATATGAACAAGAAGGCAGATTGTGAGACATATTTACATAGGATTGGTCGTACTGGAAGATTTGGTAAAGCTGGGATTGCTATTAATTTAATTGATTCTCCACAAGCTATGGAAATATGCAAAGATATAGAAAATCATTTTGGTAAAAAAATACATCTGCTTGATATTGAAGATGCTGAAGAAATAGAAAAGATTGGTGCTTAACTATTTTTTATTTCACTTGCTTTGTCTTCTAATACAAGTCAACACAGAGGGTTGAGTTAAAAAAAAATACAATGTTACTTATTGAAACAAGGATTTTATTTTAAATAAATATTTCGCCTACTTTTACTACTTGCTTATACTCCATGTCCATGCTGCTTCATCATAGTCGTATGTACTAGAAATTCAACGTGCAGCTTGACCTGCAGGCTCTGGATTAGTTGCTCCCGATATCATTACAAAGATTGCGACTGGAACTATGTACATCCACTGGAATGTAGAATCGTTTAACTATTATCTAGTAATAGTGAACACATGATTTAATTAATTAATTATCAATAACCTAGATGATGTCATCTTAAAATAATTTGGTCACAGGTGTGTGCTTGAAAAAGCTCTATTATTTTATGAAACTACAGTACAAATAAGCTATAGTGGATGTTGACATCATATGACATTTAAATTCGATGTATTGCCATAATTTAATGACTATGAAAAATTTCAACAATTTACTGGACATACAACCAAACAAAAATTAGTCATCATTCCTATTCAATAGGTATTTAAAAGATGCCAAGTGCAATAATCTTAGTTTGTTTACAGATTCAATTTGTCAAGAAACTATGTGATAACAATAAAATTTATCATTTAATTTGAAAGATTACTTACATATTTTGCTAAAAATGATCTGTTGTCTTTAACTTCTCCTTTTTCTCTTGCTTCTCTTTCTCTTTCCAATTTCTGTATATATGAGGCAGTGTCGGGTCTAAAATAATAAACTAGATGCAGTTAAACAGGAATTGACATAAAATTATGATAACTAGTTCAAGTTTATAAATATTTTCTTACACAGGAGCTTGTTCCACATAGCGAAGATAGAACTTAGAATGTATTTTGTTGTTGTTGCCAAAAGATAAAGCTTGTGAAGAGTTATGTACTTGGAAACTGACTGCCATTACATCTCCATTTGGGAGCAGCCATGCATCAATAACATCTGAAAGACCACTATCTAGAAAACTTTGTGCTTTCATAGATGAGAGAAATTCTGTTTCTTTGTTATCAGGTGATGTGCACACAGTTTTTATGGTGTAGAATCCATCAATGCTAGCAATTTGCTGTAAAATTAATTTATTGATCATTATTTATTATAGCGTATGTTGTATAATGAACAATGGACTCTATATTGTAAATAAATTTGTAACAAAAATTATATTCATACTTACTTCTAACTCTTCAATATGTTCTTTAGTAAATGATATCTGATCTATTACAGAAGATCCAGATCTGATACTTTTTAATGAAATATTACCACGAGTACAGAATTTTTCTGTATTACAATTAAGAGAGTGTTCAATTTTAATATTTAACCACCCGTCATAGTCGATACCAACCTAGAAATGATGAATTAAATAAATAAATCGTAAGTATATATTTAACAAATGTTTTCCCAAGAGGTAGAAAAATTTAAATAAAATGAATTTCAATACAACTTACGCTGAAATGGATTATAAGTAAAAAATTAAAGACTGTCGTATAGTATTTCATCGTTGCCGGTTTATCTTACTATCCAACCAAGTAAACCCTTTCACCAAGATTTTTTAAATCAGACAATACGATAAATAGTTTTAGGTTTCTTAATCCTTTTTAATCTAGCTTAATAATTTTCCGTATTATTACTGTCTGTCTCTGTGATTACTGTACTCTTTGATAACAATTCACTCTTAGATATCTTTGCATTTACACATTACAGTAAATGTCACGTTAGTGGCCTTTACATCTAAAGAGACGATTGAAAAAGAGGGAAAACCGATTTTAAATGATGTATACAACTCCACAGAAATAAATTTTTATACCTATATGAAATTCTGTATATAACTCGAAATCCCTTTCACTTTGACAATTGAAAGATATTCAAGAACTTCACGCTACAATAGTGTCCGACCGAAGGTCTATTTTTGGCCGAAGCCGATTAATCGGCAAATGCCACAACCTTCGGCTGAAGCCGAAGCTGAAGCCGAAGGTTTATAATCTCTCAGTAATTAATTTTGTTCAATATTATCTACAAGCTACAGTTAATATTAAAATTATTTCAAAACTTCAATATTGAAGGTTTATAGTGACTGTTTTATATAGAAGTTGATTTAGAGACGGAAATAAAAGTTTGTGATTTTGTGATTTATTTGTAAAAAATATCATTTCTTTATTAAGTAATTCACAAATTACAATAAGATGAATCAATTAGTCTTTGTTTTAATAGACTAGACCGAAACAAGACTAATAAATAAAATAAATAAACACTAACTTCTCAATAAATAATTAAATGTTGGTCAATTAACTGCACAGTCTAGAAAATATTAGATAATTCAAAATAAATATAACAATAGAACTAATAAGGTAATGACTATTATGAACAACAAGTTATAAGAATAATATCTTATATCGTATATATAAAAATGTTGTGTCACGATATATGTTACCAATAAACTCCAAAACTACTGAACGGATTTCAATCTAATTTCACATGTACCCGAATTTTGGTCTAACTTACTGGATAAGATAGTTATCATCTCAATTATTCGCTTATGTCGTGAATGTAAACGAATAAAATGTACTAATTAATTGTTTCTTAAGCAAGTGTTAAAAAAAGCTAATAAAAAAATGGGGTCCATCAAAACTGGTAAGGTTTTTTGAAGTGAAATTATTAAATAAACAAATACTTTAAAAATGCTAAGCAAGTTTATCATCAGCTCTTTTTCGTGCATGGGCAGGTAATAAAACTATTAAACACTAACAACAATTATTTTTATACTTGGTGTAGGTATTGGGCAATAAAACGAAATAGAAAAGATTCAAGGGTTTATTATATATTTATTTATTCATAGATACATTGCATCAGCTTACTGTTATTTAACCTATCGCCATGCAAGCTATTTACAAAAATTAGCAATAGAAATATTCTGTCCAGAAGTACTTGCAGAAGGCTGACTAAAAAACTTGTCAATTTTGGGCAATTTTTGTTTACTTTCTTCACTTTCTTGACGTTGTTTGCCTTTAAATGCACCACTGGGTTTCTTTTTTTTTATCCATAATATTAGTTTTTTAATTTATTTATGCAATATTTATGTGAGATTGTACTCAAGTCGGTACTCACTGTTCACTGACAACGTTACAAGTAAAAGGAAAGCGAAACGAAATGATACGATACAAGACGTCGTTGGGGAATCCCCGGTAAACATTTTATCGCCGCCAGTATTACCACATTTGACGGTTTAAAAAATGACAAAAAAACATCACGGAATTAATGGGCGGCCTCCTACCCCATGTGATTTGTATTTTTCACTGCATTTTGAGTTATATAGTGAGTAGCCGAAATCTATAGATTTCTTTAAGTAACTATGTATACGTACTATAATCAAATAAAATTGAACTTTTGTATGGACCACTACAACAAATTTATTGACATACGCTTACTTACTCCTGATACATTAACTTTTTAACCATTCTCGAAAAAAATCTTGACTCGAAGTTCACAATCGCGAATCACAAAAACGCATATCGATAAATAACAATATGCACATATTGATGTCCGACAAATTGATGAAAACATTAATAACACTGTCAACCCACACAAATAATTTAGGAGAATTCCCTTTTTATAACTTTGGAATTTCTCACAAATAAAAATATTAGCCTTATGTTGTATGCTAAAAATAATAATTTATCTACATTTTCACCAATCAAGTTAAATCGTCTGTCCGCATATAGGGTCAGGTGGGGTAAAAAATCAAAAGATTAGGTTTTTGTCTCATATAACAAAAACCTAATCTTTTGATTTTTTATGATATTAAAATTATTTTTATCAAGTCTATATGAATTATATTAATACTATTATTTCATAACTATAAAGTAATTTGATTTGTTTTTAAATAGTTATACTATAAAGACATGTTTTAGTATAAAATAAGTGTCTTATTATTTTCCTCCAAATAGGGTAATTATGAGACATGCTCGGTAAAAAATACGACTGCCTTAATTTTCTTTATCTTTGGATATTTGTGACATTGACGGCTCAAAATAAGACAAGGGAGTTTAAAAATGATACAAAACTCAATCAAATGTTCTTTTATTATAGGATAAAAAGTAAACAAAATATTTTCATGAGATTTTGCATATATAAAAATATTTTTTCATTGCCAAATTTAACAATGTTTTTAACATTTAAATGTTATAATAAAGTAATGAGAAAATTGATAATATATATAAATTTTCATCGAAAACTAACGCAATAAAGCTAAACTCGATAATAATCTACATCATAATGTACTTATTTAAACACTAGACTATGCAGCCTTTTTATTACTTTGTAATACTTTTTGGTATTAAAAATCAGCGCAATAATTAGACACAAATTATACTATAAATAAAACGAAGGCTTTGCGCTTATTTGACTTACTCAACATGGTATTTTTCGAAGTCAATATCGAAAATTAAGGCTTTTATTAAATTTAAATCGTGAATTCCCCTCCATCATAAGGATTTATCAATAATATACTTTTTGTCGGTATCTCTTAGGGATAGATTGCCACTTTTTACGTTTTCCAGAGCTTCCTGTAACTTCAATTCGTCGTAAGTTTTTGGTTAAGGTACATATTTTCGAGGCATGATTAATATTTTTGTCTTATTTTTATACTACACGCTGTCTTATATTTTACCTAAAGCCTGTCTTATATTTTCCCCGAAAACCAATGCGCACTCACGCATCGTATGTTAACCAGAGACCGAAGATATTGTAATCTTTAGACTGAAGACACACTGTTTAGGCACAAGATCAACTGTCGCCTCGCGTAAGGAGTGGGGGTAAGGGCGCGGGCGGCGCGATTCAGAGCGAGACAACAAAAAGTGCACGAACCGCGCATAAAAGATTTCGCACCAAAATTTGTATTGAGTTATAAAAAATTACGTAACATATTTTATTAATAAATACCGAAGCAATATTAAATTATTTTCTAATTATGTTTATAATTTATTTGTGCAGAAGCTTTAATTTGACTATCCACATTAACACGCCAACCCGGAAAAAGTCTTGTATTGACCATATGCTGAGTAATATCAGAGACGCGACGGCAATCGTTCTGCCCCTTTATTTATCTGGGGGCCAATTCTACTAAATAAATTTTGTTTAAATCGAATCGAAAACGGATCGAAACCGAACGGAACTACAGTTTTTAATGGTTTTCCTATTCTACAAAGTGACATACGATACAATTCCAGTTCTATTTTAGCTGCAATTGTGTCGTATGTCATTTAGAAGAATAGAAAAACCATTAAAAACTGTAGTTCCGTTCGGTTTCAATCCGTTTTCGTTTCGATTTAAACAAAATTTATTTAGTAGAATTGGCCCCCTGACCATGATACAGCACAAATAGAGTTTGGCAAGCGAAACGTGACACCACCTATTTTTCCGTTTTCATATGGCAACAACATAGAACTGTCAGTTTGACACTACGTTAGACAATTCAAGAATATTGAATTTTGTTGTTTTTGCGAATTTGAACTTGTGTTTTTGGTTAAAAATTATGTCGAAGCCGATAAAAAGTTCATCGAGGAAACTTCTTTCCATCATGATTGACAAGTTTACTGAAGTGAAAACTGAATTAAATAAAAATTTCATGGAGAAATTACAACGATTAGATAAAGTTGTATCTTTTTTAGGTTAGTTTTGTATTATAATTTTGATACTTTCGTTTTAATTTTCTGTAATTAACTAAACAGATATTTTTTATAAAATATTGCTCTATTTCAGATAACTGTGATGGTGATATTCAACCAATAATGGAGGAGATAAATGCAATAAAAACTTTAGAAAAACAAGAAATGCTGAATTCGGAAACGCAGTACTTACAAAAAATTTCTTCAATGACAGGTCTCTTTTCTTGTTTTGATTTAAGATAGATTGATAGTATTCCTATAATATTTACATAGGTTTTTTATGATGTTTTGGTTTTTATTGTTGACATCCAATGATGTCATAAGAATGTTTTGTTTAACAAGGAAATTCACAGAATTCATGAAACTAATCAAACCATGTAATTGTTATACATGCTAAATATGCACATAAACTTAACTAAATTAAACATAAATTGCATTCATAGTTGAATAGGTATTTAAATTATTTTGATGTATGTGTCTATCATTATTTGCTTTTAAATACATTTAACATATCTTTGTTTCAAAGTGTTTAATCTTTTATAGATGTAAGTATAAGGACACTAAGAAGGATAAAAAATGAAGCATTAATTAATAAAGGAAAATGGGACACTCCTGGGAAAAAACGACCTCATCAACCAACAGTGTCTGCTTTAGATAATTTTGATTTAAGTGCAATTCGGAATAAAGTAAATGAATTTTACTGTGTGAAAAAAATTGTTCCAACATTAAGAAGCCTTCACAATGAATTAAAAGATGCAATAGGATTCAGTGGTAGCCGTGAGACTTTACGAAAAATTATGCTTAAGAATGGATTTTCTTTTAAAAGCAATGAAAAT